TGGTGGTGGTTCATGGAGCAGATCAGATCAGTCCGTGTACCCTGATCACAATACCTGATCACTCCCAAAATTTTAATATCTCAGAAGCATGGACAAATTCCTGGATCAGCTCCGATATCCCAAACAAGAACCTCATCACAAGCCCAAGTGTCAAGATCCCAGGTTTTTCCCTCCCTCGACGAGAATGGGTGCTGCTAAACCGCTTTAGGACAGGACAGGGAAGGTGTGCAGAGCTGATGAAGTTATGGGGCTACACCAAAGATCCAAATTGTGCCTGCAACGTCCCACAATCAATGTCCCATATACTAGATGACTGTCCGCTGTACAAATTCAATGGAGGAATCTCCAATCTCCACTCAGTCACCCCGGAAGCCCTGAACTGGCTGAAGGCCTTGCCTCTCAGACTTTAATGACCGAGATGTCCTCACTTCTTTTTTCTAGATTTGATTCATTTTGTCTCCTCTCTAATTGTAAAGACGTTGCTGTATCACCTCATAAGCATAAATAAATAATACCGGCCATCTGAGGTGGTGGTGGTCCATGGAGCTGATCAGATCAGTCCGTGCAGCCTGATCACAATACCGGCCAACTGAGGTAGTGGTGGTGTCTTGTCCATGGAGCAGATCAGATCGGTCCGTGCACACTGATCACAATACCGGCCAACTGAGGTGGTGGTGGTGTCTTGTCCATGGAGCAGATCAGATCAGTCCGTGCACACTGATCACAATACCGGCCAACTGAGGTGTCTTGTCCATGGAGCAGATCAGATCAGTCCGTGCACACTGATCACAATACCGGCCAACTGAGGTGTCTTGTCCATGGAGCAGATCAGATCAGTCCGTGCACACTGATCACAATACCGGCCAACTGAGGTGTCTTGTCCATGGAGCAGATCAGATCAGTCCGTGCACACTGATCACAATACCGGTCAACTGAGGTGTCTTGTTCATGGAGCAGATCAGATCAGTCCGTGCACCCTGATCACAATACCGGCCAACTGAGGTGTCTTGTCTATGGAGCAGATCAGATCAGTCCGTGCACACTGATCACAATACCGGCCAACTGAGGTGTCTTGTCCATGGAGCAGATCAGATCAGTCCGTGCACACTGATCACAATACCGGTCAACTGAGGTGTCTTGTTCATGGAGCAGATCAGATCAGTCCGTGCACCCTGATCACAATACCGGCCAACTGAGGTGTCTTGTCTATGGAGCAGATCAGATCAGTCCGTGTACCCTGATCACAATACCGGCCAACTGAGGTGTCTTGTCCATGGAGCAGATCAGATCAGTCCGTGCACCCTGATCACAATACCGGCCAACTGAGGTGTCTTGTCCATGGAGCAGATCAGATCGGTCCATGCACCCTGATCACAATACCGGCCAACTGAGGTGCCTTGTCCGTATGGATGTCCTCTTCTGGATTGATGTCTGCCATATAGAGGGCTGCAAGGATGGCCGGGTATATATGGTCCGGAGTGAGTTGGGTGTTGTAACAGTTATTGAAGTTTCTGTAGAATATTTTGCTTTACTCTGTAAATAAAATGAATACTTTTCTACAATATCTTTATCTTTCGGGCTAGAAGATCCTTCTACAGTAGAACTATATTGAAATTATATTTTAAAGCATTTATAACAAACAAACAAAGGGGGGGTCGGTGGAAGGCTGGTTAAACCGTTTGGTTTTCGACCACTACGACCCGGGTTCGATTCCCGCATTGGACACTTTTTTCTGTTTTTTAAATAATAAAAAAAATACTCCAATGGCCCCCGATTCTTGCAAAAGTCCAACCCCACCAGCGAGTGCAAGTAACTAAACGGTGCACATTTTTAAATGCAAAGTCGAACTGCTTTTCACATGTGTAGACATGTGGTGCGCTTACAGTAAAAGCAGTCGCTAACTACCCACCATGATTATCATGGCTTGTACCACGTGTACTAAGGATAAGCATAAATAAAATAACAAACAAAACGTTTTACTTTGTTTGGAATTTGGATTTCTCGTGACAACACACTCCCTACGAGAGAGTATCCATCAACATCTTGAGATAATAGCTTTTCGTAACTTTGAAGTTATAATTTCCCATAATCTGTTTATTAGCTTGATTGTCTTAATTAAGTTTTCCTGTATATAATTTTCATTATTACCATTAAATGTGATTATCTTTTACTTTTTTTCCCCATTTGCAGACTTAGTGGTAAATCTCCATGTATAAGAGAAAATTCCTCGTATTCACCCAGACTAATCTATTTAATGGACTTGATTGTCTTAATTAAGTTTTCTATATATAAATTTCATTATTACCATTAGTGATTAGCTTTTACTTTTTGTTATTTTCATTTGTAGACTTCACGTATAAGACTATATGTATTAATAAAGGCTTTTGAGCGTGTGTGTTATAATTTTGAGAATTACAATTACAATTATTTCATTTCCAAAGCACTATATCCCGCAAGGGATACTTGCGCCAAACAAGGAGAAAAGTTTTTTTTTACATAAGTTATTTACACTATTCAACGCATGAAAACACTAGAGATCCAGATTTTGTAGAAAGTTTAGAATGTATTTACAAAATAATTTGAACTTTAAATATGATTTTTTATCGGAAATCAAATCGTTAAGTTCACAAACTAGTTCATTCTTCATTCTATAATCTTGAAATGCTGGGCAATCGATCAGTAGATGTCTTGAGGTTTGTTCCTCAATACCACAAAAGCAACTTGAATCCTCCACTGTCTTTATTCTATTTGAAAAACTTTTGAAATTTCCGTGGTTTGTAACAAATTGAAAATAAGATATGTAATAAATTGAGAATAAAAGAGATATAATATGAGAATAAACGACTAAGCGCAAGTTCTCTTCCTACAATATATTAACTCACAAGAAAGATCCTTTATAATAGAATTTTAAAGACTGTTTATACGTTATAAATTTATAGACTTCAATAGCATTATAAAAGTCAAAGAATGATTATTCAAAAGTTTGAATTTATTAAATATATTTTATGTATTTATTTAATAAATTTGTTCAAAAACATTTGCAATGAATATATTTTAAATTTTCTTTTATTTTGATTTTTTTAGGCTTCGAGGCAATTCCAATGTCTTAAGTTTATATGTATAACATATGTAAAATATGTATAACATAGGTAAAATATGTATAAAATATGTTCATTGAAAAGACACTCATGCGGTGTAACTTCAAGTGTTGTTTTACAATCACAAGCCGCAGTGTATTATATTGTATTATAAGTTACTTTATGTATCATTTATGAACGGAAAAATACGTCCAGGGTAGCCTAGTGGACATGGCATCTGCCCGGTAAGCGGAATATTGTGGGTTCGATTCCCATCCCCCTGGACACTTTTATTTTTCCGTTCATCATTACTCTTCATAATTCACCCTTTCATACCTCATCCAAAAAGGTTAGAAATAGTCAAATTTCACCTTGAAATAAATTTTGATTTTTCATTGAAAAGAAACTCATGCGGTGTAACTTCAAGTGTTGTTTTACAATCACAAGCCGCAGTGTATTATATTGTAAAATATATTTTAGCTACGACATATATATATATATATATTTAGATATTTTTTATTCTCGGAGTGTGTAGTTAGCTGGAAGTCATAATTCTAGTTGCTTCTGTTGAAGGGCATGTTAGCCCGTAAGATAGAGAAATAAAAAATGGTACAAGAAACCCTGGATGGATTGTTGATTTTATTAAATAAAGGCTTTGTATATAAAACATTCGAAATTTTAAAACACACTCAAATATATTTTATACATTATTCATATATTGTTATATTTATTAGAAAAACCTGACATTTCTCTCAAATTTTAAATTTATTATTAATGATAAAGCACAATTTGTGGATTATAGATTATAATACAAGAAAATAAGACCTAATCCAAATAATTTATTAGTGTGTTTTTATTGTCGGCAACAACATTGTCACCATCATCAGACAAAAGAATAAAAATATATAAAATAATAATAATATATAATATAATCATAAAATTAAAATAATATTAATAATAATTTTAATTCTTTTGTCTGATGATGGTGACAATGTTGTTACCGAAACGTCACACTCTAATTAATTATTTGGATTAGGTCTTATTTTCTTGTATTATAAATTTATTATTACTATGCCTAAGGCTTATTATCAACCTGAAACTTATTTCGTTTGAGAAAAAGATGGAATTGTTCATTTAAAAAAAATGAATTAAAATTATAGTATAATAGGAAGATTAGCCGGGTATCATTTCCGAGACCAAAAGTAAAATTTTTGAAGAGTGAGTTTGGTGAGATTTCGGACACTAACGTTCTTTAACAAGCTGTAATAAGAAACTATAAGAATGTTATATGGAGAATTTTTATTTAGTTTCAGTTTATATTTCCTGGATCAAATTACTCGGTAAAGTCGACCGCCAGATGTCACAGCTTTTCCTATATAAACTTATTGTTGTTTTCAAGCAGTCTGCTAGTCCTCCCGCCTTCTTCCTGCCTCCTGACCTCCGCGGACCCAATCCGGCCTAACCTGCCTCTTCTTTGACGGAGATCCTGTCCCAAGCCTCTCCAGCCTGGTCATAGTGGTTTTATATATTCCGATTTACGCGGCCATTGGGGCTCAAAAATTATTTATTTTGGTTAGCAGCCCCGTAAATAAATATATTTTCTCTCAAGCAGTCTGCTTGCTACATTATTTTGGGCTTAAAAATCAAACACTTTAAGCAATGCGGTATGTCTGCTCTCCACGGTCACCCCTGGGCTCAATACTATTGGACCCGTCTCTGCCTCCCCCTGATCTCCGCGGATCACCACCCTGTCCCCCTCCTCTACATCCCGGCTCTCCTGGCCTCACCCGGCGATGATCCCCTGGCCACCCATCCCCAGGCCCCTCCAACTGTGCAATGTATATATTCCGCTTTATGCGTCCATCGGGGCTCAAAAATCATTCCTTTTGGTTAGCAGCCCCGCAAATAAAGATATTTCCTCAAGCAGTCGTGGCCTAGTGGTTAAGACGATGGACTAATAATCCATTGGGATCTTCCCGCATAGGTTCTAATCCTGTCGACTGCAATTTTTTTTCCTTTGGTTAGTAGCCCGTAAAACCATATTCTCTCTTTTCTGTTGGCCGGCTCAAATATTTGTAAATATGTAAATACGTTTTTTTGTTTTTCTTTATTCTACTCGCCTTAAGTCAGGTATTTCATCCTTAATTATTTTCATCAGACCAATTAAAGCAAATAAAGATCTAAAATGTTTTTATTCGATTTTCTTCACAAAGGTTTACGACTGCATAACATTGTGTTGTGACAAACTATTCATATATTCAACAATATTTAATTTAACACATATATATATATATAAATGATGAGATTTTATGCTGATTTTTGCTTATCTTGAGGATTATGCTATGGTAATGCAGTCGTGGTTAAAATCTTGAAACTATAATAATAAAAATAATGAAGATTAGAAATAGCTTTAATTGAGCTTATGGGATATAGAAGAAAAAAAAACATAATTTGATAAAAGTAATGCCTGGCTAAGCCAGGCGTAAGAATAAAAAAATGGAAAACATATTTACATAATATACAAAAGGTTTGAGCCGGCCATCGGGAAACAACAACAATGAGTTTTTATAGGGGAAGCATGACCTCTGGCGGTCGATTTAGCAGAGTATTTGAAATATAAATTTAAATAAAATAATATTTTAATATAACATATATATACATCTCTATTAAACATTTATATGACTAAAAGGACCCTCAAATATGCAAATTTGTAACCTTAAAATTAAACAAAGGAAGAAATTGCTAATATTTGGGTAAAAACATCTATATATCAAACATTTTTGAATAGTTTATATATAAACATTTAATTTCAGAAGTAACATTTGAAATATATTCCATGATATGTAGATTAATCATTAGTGTAAAAAAATCCTCTTAATTACAAACACTCTCTTTTAGACAACATAAAGATAACAATTTTCTGTAAAGTTTTGTTAAAATATAAAATAGAATATAGTATAGTTTTAACAAATTGTTAAAGCTATGGTGTAAATCAGATAGTCGACAAAAACTCTCGTCTGCCTTATTTTAAATAAGTTGCTATTATTAAAAGACAAAATGGCGTCGAAGATCCGGTTAAAGATTAAATGTTATCGGGTATTTTATTTCTACTTAAAAAAAAAAGGCCATTGATTAGTCAGCAACAAACTCCTTGTTGTTTCCTATCAATTTAGGTCCATCGTCAAATGTTTTATTGAATAAAATTTTATTTTGTTCGTCTGTCTCTCTTAGTTGACACGTGGCCAAAATCAGGGTGCCAAGATTTATTTTGTTCTTTTTCAACTTATTTTATCTTCTGCCTTTTATATTTTACATTCCGCAGCCTAATAAAAGTTTTTTTTTTTTTAATAAACTTTTTAATAGAGAATAGAGATAGATATATTTACATATGTTTGATTAGTGCACGCTATGTAATTAAATTATTGATTTGTCAACCTTTTTTACATATTATATTGTCTATATATGAAAATATATTACAAATAAAATAGAATAACCCAATTTCATATTAGAAACATGCATGCAATCATAGCAGTCTGGCGGATTAAATTGACGAAACCGTTGGGAGGGTTCCACACTGATGAGCCAAGCCCTTCCAATATTTTTCTCATCAAAGTAATCCTACAGAAAGGTATTTTATTTGAAAAAATAAAAAATTCTGTTAAAATGGTTAATCACGTGAGAACGCCCTTGCAACCTCAGAACAATTTTTAACGCCTTGCCAAATGCTTTATTTACTTTTCCCGACGAAGACAAAATATTTTTGTTGAAACGTTGAGAAAATAAAAAACTCTAACTGGCCGAAGTGTCTATTTTTCATAGAAAAATGGTTTAATTTCTTACACAAAGATGGCGTGATATTTTACCTTCTATTTATATATATTTATATATATAACGTTAAACTCAAAAGTAAAATACAATTGTTTTCATGATTTCGATATGAAAAGATGGTGAAAATTTGGTGGGGACTTCCAAACATTTCAGTTTTTCTACAGTCTACTGAAAATTGTTTTTTAAAAAATGGAAAACTCCTTCAACTCAACTTTTAACAACCTGTTGGAGAGAGTTGGAAGTGTAGAAATTCGGAATCTTTTTCAATTTTTGTTGTTAAGGAACAAAATACATGTTCCTTTGTTTATTAAGTACCATAAACAATTTTGAGAAATTGTTCAAATAGAGAAAAAGAAGGAGCATCTATTTTAAGTATCTAGATAATTTATGGTCTCACCAATCTCAAGATGTTACTTGTAGGTGATTACCTTCAGTACAGCTGCTGATCTCTTTGTCTCTGGATGGAAGATAACATTGAAGAGCCAGGCCTGAAGAAGATTCAGAACTTTCCAACTCAACTTTTAACAACCTGTTGAAATATGTTGGAAGTGTAGAAATTCGAAATATTTTCAATTTTTGTTGATAAGAAACATAATACATGTTCCTTTGTTTATTGAGTACCAGAAACAATTTTGAGAAATTGTTCAAATATAGATAGAAAGCGAAGGGGAGCATCTATTTTAAGCATCTTGATAATTTATAGTGTCACCAATCTCAAGATGTTACTTGTAGATTATTACCTTCAGTACAGCTGCTGATCTCTTTGTCTCTGGATGGAAAATGACATTGAAGAGCCAGGCCTGAAGAAGATTCAGAACTTTCCAACTCAACTTTTAACAACTTGTTGAAGAATATTGGAAGTATAGAAATTCGAAATCTTTTTCGATTTTTATTGTTAAGAAGCACAATACATGTTCCTTTGTTTATTAAGTACCAGAAACAAATTTGAGAATTTTTCAAATAGAGAATGAGAAGGAGCATCTATTTTAAGCATCTAGATAATTTTTGGTGTCACCAATCTCAAGACTAAGATGTTACTTGTAGATCATTACCTTCAGTACAGCTGTTGATCTCTTTGTCTCTGTATGGAAGATGACATAGAAGAGCCAGGTCTGAAGTAGATCCAGGAACATCTTGCAGGTAGCAAGTACCTCCCGGGTCGAACAGCTCACCAACTATGGTATCTGCAAGATCAATGCTTATTTCTGTTATATATATATATGTGAATCTTTAACTTTTTGTATGAAAAATAAGAGTTTATTGTATCATGGCCTTCCCTAAAAGGATTTAGAGGGTTTATCCTTAGAACATCGGAGAAAAGGAAGAGCAGGCATTAACTGCATAACATAACTAAAAAATTGATATAATTTTAGATTTTAAATAATAAAAAGTAAGAGATGTTTTGTTATATATTTGAATAGAGGTGAGCTTTCGGATATGTATTGTTCTTCCACGGGCATGAGTTTGTTGCAATCAAAAAGGTAAAATAGTATGCTTATGTGATCTCAACAACAGCCATCAACAGTCGCCCACAAAGTATAAAGCGAATACAACACAAACAAATACCTTTGAAAGAGGAAAAATAAAAATCAGGTAAAAATTTTCTTTTAATTTTGAATTTGCAAGCTTTCGAGCAAATATACTGTTTTTCAACAGGCTAATATTCTATGTACAATCTCTTAATAATCTTTATACAAAATAATTGAAAATTCCTCTTTCAAATAATTTCTGGGTACCTATTGTGCTCACACAAATACCTTTATTAAGACATACAGTCATGGATTTATCACGGTGTCTACAGAAGAAAATAGTACAAAAGACCATTTACCTTTAATGATAATAATGCAGATGATGTAGTCACGAGAACATAATTAAGGCAATTAGTCTCATACCCCGCGATTTGTACAATAAATCCAAGGAAAACAATAAGATAAAAATAAATAAGAACAAGGATATTGTCACGAGCCATCAGTGAAAAAAATATATAGAACTTATCATCATAACAAAAAAAAAGCAGAAGAAGAAAACAACAACAAAGAAACAATAGAAAAGGAGAATTTTTTTGTTATTAAAAAAAAATAGATATTTTTTTGTTAAAATAGGAATAATATTGGGTAATAAGTTGTATTTAAATAAAAATATACTGATTGAGTAAGTTTTGATATTTTAAATACATAAGAGAATAGTAATTTTTGTAAAATAATACTATGCAAATAGTGAATACATGACAATATATTTACATACGTATGATACAGGCATTCATAAGACTTCATAGGGGATCGGTGAAAGGATGGTCTAAACCGTTGGTTTTCGACCACTACGACCCGGGTTCGATTCCCGCATTGGGCACTTTTTTCTTATTTAAAAAAAATGTTCCGATAGCCCCCGATTCTTGCAAAAGTCCAACTCCACCAGCGAGTGCAAGTAACCAAACGGGGCTCTGGCACATTTGTAAATGCAAAGTCGAACTGCTTTTCACATGTGTAGACATGTGGTGCACTTACAGTAAAAGCAGTCGCCTACTTCTACCCACCATGATTACCATGGCCTGTACCACGTGTACTAGGGATAAGCAAAAAATAAATAAATAAGACTTCATCAATTTCTTTCATCTTATGCTATAATTCTGCATGAAGTTGACACAACAAATACCATACTTTATCATCAAGACCTACAGGTCAAATATGACCAAATACAATTATCACAGAATAATTAAGATAACCTTTCTATTCACTATAGAAGTAGAAACGCAAATCGATGAGAAAAGCTTCTTTTATATAAGAGGATGATTGTATAAGCTTTCTGGCAAGACGCCCTTCTACGGTGATTCGTACGTAATTTCTCTTAATACTATTTTATATCTATTACTAAGTCTGACCAGGAGGCTGTTGTTAGGTGCTGCGCTGCCTGGAGTATAGGAGCTCCATCTATGATTCCTTTCTTCCTGTGGTGAATCTGTATAAGACCAGTGGTCTTAATAAAGCTTTGTGTGTGTATTTTCTATCTATTATTAAGTCGGACCAGGTGTTGGGTGCTGCGTTGCCTGGAGTATAGGAGCTCCATCTATTATTTCTTCCTGTGGTGAATCTGTATAAGACCGGTGGTCTTAATAAAGCTTTGTGTGGGTGTATTTTCTATCTATTATTAAGTCGGACCAGGTGTTGGGTGCTGCGTTGC